TGCAATCCAATATAGGAGAAGCGTAATTTGGCCTTCTCATTCCTGTGTTGAGGCCATTCTGGGCCATGACTCTCTCTATCATGGTGGTTAGGTTGTTTTCTGCCAAGATGTTATCGTTTCGAATTCTATGAACGACAGCATCGACATCTTGATTTCGACCAACCAAAACAACTCCCCTAGGTTGTTCTTCTTGAAACTCTGGGGCTTCTAGCCTTTCGACCCTTTCCCCTGGTTCCATAATTTCCCTTTGTGGGCCTGGGATTATTGGGGCTTCTAACCTTGGTGCCCTGGCCCCTAAGTTAACTTCTTCTCTGGGTGGTCTATAAATTGGGTCGTTAGCAATTTGTTCTATAACAGGCATGTTTGCTCGAAATCCCGCCTGATTCTGCCTACGCCTTTCTGGGGGAGCAAATAAATCTGCTATTCGACTCATATTGTCAGCGTTTTCTCTGTTTGTCACAGTCACATTTTGCACTATTGGGGCAAATATCTCCTGCATGGTTTGTGCTAACAACCCTATCATATTATGGTTACTGTCATCCATCAATTGCCTAAAAGCCAACTGGTTGTCTGTGGTTAAGATAGGCATTATGCTATAACCCACCGACCCTTGGTTATTTGTCATAAACTGATTCGCCCCAGACCCAGACCCTAGTTGTGGAGATGAATTCGATGTGGAATTGTGTAAACCTGCCATAAAAGATGTTGGCATTCCATAAGAGGAATTTCTGGTTCTATTCCCATCGAAACCGGGTGGTCTAGTTAATGGAGTGGCGAAATGGGATTGTGTCCCTGATGGTGGAACGAATCCCCCAGGGTAGCCAATGGTTCCAGTATTTCCTAAGATCGAACTATTAGTTGATATGCCACTTACTCCATTGGTGGCTATGTTACTGGTCGAAGATGCAACAGACTGTGCATTCGAAGGGATTACATTAGATGTTCCGATCGAAGTGGACGCATTAGTGCCTGTTGTATGTGGGCCATTTTGGTCCCCTTGTTGATTGTCTGAATTAAACATTTTGTCCAAACGTTTTCTTCTGGATAAAGGTTGGTTGTTGTTGGTTATCTTACCACTTCTCAGGTTCATAAAACAGCAAACTTCTTAGGTTCCAACGTTTTTGTAATGGTTATGTCTCAACAATCCTTATTTCTAATATCCAATTATTGGTCCCACCGGGTGTGCCAATTTGTTTCCAGTGATTTCTGGTAAACAACCACTAGTCTTCCAAACTATCGAATAATCTTTCTGACTGTTATTCAATTCCTCTGGTAACTCACAGGATCGACTAGATTGATCCTAGGACTCCTTGGATATTAAGGTTACTCTCACGATCGAACAGATATTCATGGTTGATATTGTATATGTGTTTGGCTTATTTCGATTTCTCTCTCTAAAAGTCTAAAGATGTAATCAAAATGTGTGTGTGAAAACTAAGTTACATGAATAAATGCTAATTGTAAAGACATGTAAAATTGCATAAAAGTGAAGTAAATGGTTTCGACTTACAAAACAGTTAATATAAAGGATTTCTGGAACGTAAAAGGTTTGAAATATGAAGAAAGCGTTTAATGCAAGAAGTCTTTAAATGACTTTAAGTAAAAATATGCGTTCGAAGGATAAGACTTGAAGGTAAAGGTATGGAAAATATGACAGTTTTCTGAGATATAAAGTGCTTGAAATATGAAGAAAACATTAAAATGTAAAACTTTGAGGAAGAGATTTCGAAGTGAAAAGACTTTAAATGAGAAAACTTGTAAATGTTATTTGACAAAAGGATAAAGGAAAGTGCTGGAAATGGTAAAAGGTTTTCATTAAATCAGAAATACATGGTGCTATCATACATACATTTCTCTTGCATTCGTTTCCCTTGCCATGTGGTAGTTTGAATGTTACTGAGTATTTTGTATAATAGATATGACACACCAAATCCTAATACTAAGACTTCTATTTATACTAATTCGACCATAACGGTCTTGCTATAGGATTATGCCACGTTTAGAACATGCAGGACAATGCCTCTTTCGTCTTTCCACGTGTCCCCAAATGCTCCAGCACATAACTTTCAAACTTCGAAAGTCCCGCTTCCATTTGAATTTCAAATGCTTTGGTACTTCTCCGTTTCGAACGCTCTTTCCAGACACAGCCTTGTTGTTATTTCGAGACTTCTTTAGATATGTTCCCATAATTGCCACTCGAAGCTCCAAGCTTTGACATACTTATTCGAAACACTGCTTCTGCTACTTCGAAACATGACGCTTTACCTCATTTCGATCAAAACGTTTAATTCATTTGGCTTCTAATAACATTATCAAAATCTTCAGCCAACACTATCGAAGTAATATAAAGGATTGTCGAACCACAGAGACCAATCGTCAATCTTTCAACTCTATTATTAAGTTGGTTATCTAAGGAGGATCGATTCAGTTGAGGGAGTATAATGTAAATGAATTAAATAGATAAAGTAAATTCAGACAAAAGACAAGCTAGGATGTAAATCACATTGGTCAAATAACATTTCAATTTGTATTTAATAGAACTATTCATGGAGCAATATTTTCCACTCTTGTAAGGAACAATTTGACGGGAACTTGTCGCTTTCGCTAACTAAGAACCAAGTTTACTCTCTAATCAAATCCTTCTATTGTCACTTATAAAAGGGCGCTTCAAGCGTTAAAGCAACAAACCTATTTTTAAGAAATTAGCTTCTTAACTTAGTAAAAAAGTGGTTTCAACTCGAAATGATTGACATAAAGAGATTCTTGGCTTTTGCTCGAGAATCAGATTGTAAATTATAAACGCGTCCGAAAATAGTTTCAAAATTGTTTTCTAAAAGTGTCAAAGATCCCTAATTAAACAGTCAAAACGCTTTCGCCCTTTTTGAACGGTTAAAAATTAACCAAGTTTACTCTTTGAAATGGACGGCTTTCGATCTTATCTAAAAATATTAAGTACGGAAAACTTGTGTTAAAAGTTAAAACAACCCCTAAAGTGTTTCTACTGATACGGTGTTGAAATGCTATCATGACAATGATCCTTACATTCCAATCTTAAAATGTTTAGCCAGACATGAAAATAAAAGCAAGCATGTTAAAGTTGATCGAAATAGACATAGTAATAAAGGCAAGGCAATATAATAAAATAAGTAATGCAAGTGCAATACAAAGCGATTGAATAAAATAAAAAAACTTAAATAGAACCCTGCTCTAAATCAGAGTCACTAAATCTTGGTACAACTGGAAAGTAAATGCTTGAAGTAAAATGGCGGCAAGATTGTAAATAAAAGAGATGATCCAACCTAATCAAGACTATGGTGCAATAATCCTCTGATGTGGCGAATTATTGCTTTTACATAAGTGAATATAGGCTTAGCGTTGCAAGACTAAGTTGGATGATGGAAAATAAAATGAAAACTACTATTTATAGAATTTCTCCAGGCTATGCTTTGACAGAAATGCCCCCTAACTCCTTTTGGACGGGAAGAAACTTAACAAAGATCGCGGCCGCCGAGGCCCCTCCGCGAGCGCGAAGTGTGCAGATAGAGAGATCGTGGGGGACGTGGCAGTTATCCCCTGGGTGAAGTGGGACATATCACGGCGCCCCCTATAGCGGTCGCTGAGCTGAACGCCATGTGTAGGATTTCACTGAAAATCTCGATTTATTGGCTTTTTCGCTTGGTTTCTTCAAGAAGAGCTCCAAATGGGCATGTTGCTTGAAAACAAGAGAAATAAAAGCATAACGCAAGAAAACAGTACTAAAAATTATGAAAAACATGTGCTATTTGAGTCAAATATGCAGTGCGATCAGGTGTTATCAGCCTCCGACTATATAACCCGGCTCATGCATGATGATCTTAAACTGAGGTATTACCCGGCTAAGCATTTATTTGTCCTCCTTGGCCTTCTATCCATGTATTGCATTTTTATCTCTCCTAGCCCGAACAATGAATCTAGGTATGAACATGATTTGATCCCTGAACTTGCGCTTCCTACCATAAGTGAAAATTACGGATGACAACAGATGGCGAATAACCCGTGTTGAAGATGAAGTCGTGTTGAGATGAACCCTAGATCTAGATGTTGTGCATACGAAGAAGAAGAAGATAATCCAATTTGCAATTTAATCTGTATTATTTTACATTATTTAACATTTGGGTTGTAAATAAATAAATAAATTAAAATAAAACCAAGTGATAGTCATTTAAATTAAAAATGTCAACATGTCAATTTCACATCAGTATTTTAAGTGATCAAATCCACTAAAGAACTAAAACGAAGGAATCTTCAAATCATAAAGATGAAATCTGTATATTTTTTACAACGTTGTTTTTGAGATGCACCCTATATGACAGAGAAAAAAATGGTGATTAACCTTTAATTTTAACACACAATGAATAAAGAGCCGCAAGCGTGTCACTCTAATAGTAAGATTGAAAAATACAAAGGTCGTTAAATGATACCGCCGAAGTCAAATAAAAAGTACTTTTAAACTTATTGATCTCATTTTTTAAAAACTGACATTTACGTCAACTAAACATACATAATACTTCTTTAGAAATCCAAGATTTTAAATTGTTAAAGTCTATATATGGTCTAAAACAATTAATCCAACCAAGGGTTTAAATTGTTAAAGTCTATCTATGGTAATATATCAAACAATGATGAGGGGAAATATGTCGTGAGCATCCTCTAAGACCCAGGGCTACTTGCCTTGAAAACAATATCAGCTGGAATTTGAGGAAAAAAAAGTATTACATGTTTTGATTTTTTAATTTTTTAATCTTAAAATAAATTTTCAAAAGATAATCTACAGTTAAACTCTAAAGCAGAACACACAAACTTTGACAAAAAAAGCAAAGAGCAGTGGAACTTTACTTTTTATTTATTCTGTTTCCGCAAAAGCTACATGACTCGAGTTATTTTACACATGCAACAACAAAACCATTTAAGCCTTAGTTTTCTTATTCATTATTATTATTTTCATAGATTTGGTGCCAAATCTAAGCCGAAGCTCTTTTCTCAGACTCACGTGGTGGAACTAAAAATTTGAAAGGATTGTTGGACTTGAGCTGCCTTGCCTCATTCCTCTGCAGGTTGAATGTAGCTGCGACTACATCCAAAGGCAGAGCATTTATAGCTGATGTTGTCCCTGCAAGTTTTGCAATACCAGCTCTATCATTGGTCTTGAATGCTACATATGTGAACCTGTCGCTCAATGATTTTGCAGCCACAGCATAGTTTTGTGGCACTGTCAATGCACGACCGGCCTCTAGCTCTCCATCAAACACAGTGTTGCCATTGCAGTTCACAACTTGTAGCCTTGCACGTCCCTTCAATGCGTATAATACGCTGTTTGCGTTGAGGTTGTAGTGAGGCACAAACATAGCATTCTGTATGAAGATTGTTTGACATAAAATTAAGTGATGCAAAACAAATTAAAAGTAATAAAAGATAAAAAAAGAAAGAAAGAGAAAAAATAGTACTTTGCGGAGAGATCCATGCTCAGCACTTAGTTTGAGCCACCTGAGAACTGGGAGGTCAAGGCTGGTAACAGTTTTGATTCTACCAGCTTGAGGGTTGTAGATGTCTGGCGATGAAGATGAACCAATGTTCAGCCGAAGTTTGGCAGTGCAAACGGTTTCCTCAAGCCCATTGTCTCCATGCCTTCTGCTTTCACCTTTTTGGCTGTGGCGCTTTTCCTTGTCGTCTTCATCTTCACCTCTTCTGCTTTTATGATGGCTTGGTTGTCTCTCTTCCTTTTCATCTTCATCTTCATCTTCTTCTTGTCTGCTGCCTCTCGGGTGGCGCGCTTGCCTCTCCGGAGGGGTTATGATGCTGAGACCACCTTTCACTTTGACAATGGCTCCCTTCTCTTCGTCTTCGTTCCTGCCTTGAAGTCTGTCTACTATATGCCTGTTCACGTTCAAAGCATCTTCCAAGAAATCCCTCTTGAAGCCGCTGAAAATGTTGTTCCCGTCATTGTCTTGTTCTTCCTTTCCTCCTTGTTGATGTTGGTATCGTAGAAACTCTTGCTCTTGGTTCCCAGCAAGATAGAATCTCTGTCAATTATATTTTCAGTCAAAATCAATCAATTGCCAATTTATGTTACCTTTTTGGACAATATATTATCATTATGCTAAGTGCTCACCCTAGGCATCTGATCAAGCTGGTTATTGGAGCTGCCAGTATCAGTAAGAGAAATGGCAATAACTGGAGTATCTTGGTCATTGTACATCCAAAATACAATACCAGTAGGAACTGCAATGATATCACCCTCTCTAAATCGGTTAACCTTTTGGTGGCTGTCTCTGTACCTGCGTCCCTCTCCTTGTTCAGATTGTTGTGGCTCCTCAAAGGTCTCAGGACAACCAGGGAATACCATGCCAAAATATCCATTACCTATAATTGATATAGTATGTAAATACGTAATGAAAGTAAAGAAGTTGAAAGAATATGGAAGCTAGTAACAAACCTTGTTGGATGTAAATTTCTTGGGGAGCATTGGAATAGTAAGGTCTGCGAAGGGCATTGCGCTGAAGGGTAGCACGAGAGAGGGCCACGCCTGCACATCGAAATTGCCTGTTGTTTGGATTCCAAGTCTCAATAAGTCCACCTTCTGACTCTATACGGTTATCTGGTTCAAGGGCATCGAGGCGTTCTAGCTGACACTCATTTTGTTGAGACTGTTCTCTGAGAGCAAAGCAGCTACTGAAAAGTAGAAAGCAAAGTGAAAGAGAGAGTGCAAGTAGTTTAGTAGACATAGTTGGATATACTATATGTTTGTGATGCGGATAACCTTAATTTGCATTGATATTTATAGTGAAAGAGAGGAGAGTATAGGAGGTACACGTCAGCGCAAAGAAGATGCTTGCATGGCTATGGAAACCTTGTGCGTTACACCTCATAAAATCACAATGTCTCATTACTGCATAGGTGGCTTCAATTCAATTAGATAACTAGCTGAAATCGGTGGTGATGGGGACCATGTAGTATGGTCTATAATTCATTTCTCTTTTTACTTATTTTCTTTAATTTACTGTCTTGTAATGTTTAGATATATGAACCCGATTCACTTTCAAGTCAATGTGATGTTATTTTCTGTATGTTGGATGTTGGATAGCATTGAGTTCATGGTCTTTACAATTGTTAAACTTTAATGAAATCAATCTTTGATTAGACTCGGTAAAGCACAATTTGTCTACACGAATTTGAACCATTAATGTGATGTTCGAAGTACAACTTCAAAGTGCTTGAATTGCAACATTGTGATACATATGTTACATAAAATCGCACAAATTGTTTGGATAACAGTATCCCTATATGATTGCACAAAATCATTAACAATTGATTTGCTTTAATTCTTTCATCACTTATCTCATTATTCTTTCAACAGTTATCTCATTAATCGATCATTCCTATTGAATCAAAGTGAGAAGTTTTCTAAAACATGAAAGTTTTTATCGACCTTTCATAAAGGATTTATAAAGAAATTGATTTTAAATTTGATGATGATTGATTTTAAAGAAAAGTTAGTTACATGTAATCATAGCCCCTAATTGAGAACTACATTTTTAAATGATATGTGATGTTAGTGATTACACACTTGGAGTTGTGCTCAACCAACAAAATGGAAATCAAATAAATTACACCACCGAGAAGGAATTGCTCGCCATAATATTTGCATTGGAAAACATTCTCTCTTATCTAATTGGTTATAAGGTTATTGTGTGATCATCTATTGAAACTAGAGAGTTTTGATGTTACAAATAAGGAGAAGAAAATATTAGAGGCGTTTTGATATGAGAAAATATTTGTGGTTACTGAAAAACTATAGTGTGCTTACATGACCAACTTTAAAATTGAAAACAGGAGTCGGAAAACCTTACGTGAAAACAAAGAAAAACAATTATACCATGATGTGAATTTGTTGAAGGTATGCTCTAATGGTTTAATCCAAAAATGTGTATATGGGAAAAAAGTGATAAGTATCATATAACAATGTCATATTTCAACTTATGGAGGTCACTACAACGGAGAAAGAACGAGTACAAAAATTCTACAAAGTGGTTTTTGATGGCCAACCTTATTCAAAGGTAGTGTATAATATGTGAAAAATTTGATCAATGCTAGCAAGCTGGTAGTATTTCTAAGAGAAATGAAATTAGTATGTGAAAACTTGTGATCAATACTAACGAATAGGTAGTATTTATAAGAGGAATGGAATTTCCCTTAATGGAAGGTTAAACATTTTCCTCCCTATTCTAATTTGCATATCTTAATTTATGTTGATTATGTTACTAAATGAGTTGACTTAACTTTTTGTGTTGCTAATGATGCTCATAATGTGGTTAACACCTTGAAAAATAATATTTTTTTAGTTTAGAGTACCTAGAGTTTTAATCAACACTAAGAGATTGATGAGGGGCGTTTTTACAACTATTTGAAGAATATATTGATGAAGTACAATATAAAACATAAAGTGTCAATTCTCTATCATCCACAAATGAGCAGGCAATTCAAAATATCCAACAAACAATCAAATGAGATCCTATAAAAAGAAGGTTAATTCGTCAAGAAAATATTGGTTAAAGAAGCTAGATGATGTATTGTAGGCATATTGTACCGCATTCAAGTAATACCTTTTGGATTGTCTCCATGTCAGTTGGTGTAGAGTATGGTATGCCATCTTCTTGTAGATTTAGATCACATAGAGTATTGATAATAAAAAATGTAAATTTTGATTAATTTGCAACAATTAAGTAAAAATATTAAAATTAAATGAGTTGAAAGAGACGTGACTGCAAGCTTATGAGAGTGTGGTTATCTATAAGTGAGAACCAAGAGATACCATGATAAAAACCTATTTAAAAAATAGTTCTATGTTAGACATCATATCATATTATTTAACTCTAGGTTAAGACTATTTCCGAAGAAACTTAAGTTTAAGCAATTTGGTTTATTTGTGGTGAAATTTGTATCTTTGTATAAGGAAATAGAGTTATAAGAATTAAGTGTCACTTCAATGTAAATGGGCATGGTTAAAGCCTTATCATTAGGGGGTTGCAATGTAAGAATATATCTTTGGCTTTTGAATATCTTTGTGGTCAGTGAGACGTCAAGTTATTAACGTTAAATGAGTGTTTGATGGGAGATATCCCATTATTTTTTAGTTTCCATTTTTATTATGGTTCTTATTTATTTTTAGATTTTAATAAAAGGTAAAAAGTTTCCTCAAATAGAAATGAAATAATGACTTAGGGTGTGAGTGAAAAAAAGATTTTAAAAAACTTTTATCATCCTTTTTGCTCTTGGAAAAATTGCGGTGTGCAAGCTATATGGTGTAGCACATTCTAGCGGTTATACTTTCAAACATGTTGCGTTTTAGAAAGGTGCGACATAAATTAGTCGTTGTACTGGCTCTTATGTGACTGTTACAATATCAAACCCGATATACTTTTTACATAGTGTGGCACGTTCCACGCAATCCATATAAATTGGGTGTGCAATTACGCTTATTCTAATAATCTTCATATTAATTTCTCTCTAATCCTTTGCACTCCAAATTTCCTAACTTGCAAACTATTCTACTTCATATATTTTCTTTTATATTCAACCTCGTCAATGGAAGCAAAGAAATCTAACATTATCAAAGTAGGTTCATCATCTAGTGATCATGCGCCCCACTGTTCCTAGCTTTGCCTTACCAAACTTTCTTACACCATAATCCATGGAACACGACCGAGACCTTCATGCACCAGTTCAGTCGCAATACAATAGCCACACTCCGTGTATGATGAACTGGCTAGAAAATGTATATTCATCTACTTATAAAGATCCTTCAATCCTTGATCCTCAACTCTAATTAGTTGTAGCTACATACTGGTAGTAACACTATCATTTGTAGCTCTTTTAGTAGTTTAAGAACAGGGCCAACAAGGAGGCCTATTTTTTAGAGGGAAAATTTGTAGAAGGCGCAAGAAAGAACAAAGTTAGAGAGCTTTTCAACCAAGGTGAGCGTGAGAGGTTAAATATCTTCCACACACCTCAACAACCACCTCATCTTGACCAGATGTAATTCGAGATCTTCACAATGACATTAGTTTCATTTCAATTTTTCTCTAGTTTATCTCACTTATCATTTTTATTTTCTTTTTGTTTATATTATCTAATTTTATTATTACTTTATTGTTAAAGGAGTGTTGATTGAGTAGTACTCATAACACCATTATAGTGTATTAACTAGTAAGATACTCGTGCTCTCGCATAAGTGAATTTATTTGATACGATATAAAATATATTTAGAAGCTGGTAAATTTGAAATGAGATATTTAATTGTAAAATAAACAATTATAAAATTCATTTGTATTAAATAATCATATGAAAGAAAAAGAAAAAAAGGAACCAATGAGATAGAGAAAGAAAAAAAATTAAAATTTGGAAATAAAGATTTTAGTTTTCAAATAAAAGTTATTATTGATTAAAATAAAATAGACATTATGTTGATAGTGACCCGTAAAATTAAATATTTTATTATTGTATTCATGGGATAATTTTGTGTGTAATAGATAGTTTGGTCAATTGAATAGTAATTGTTTGATAATATATGCTCATAAAAACTCAATGTATTAATAAAATAATTTAGAAAAGGACACGTGAGTTGGAGAAAATAAAATAAAATTTTAACAAATGCAAATGTAAAATTTTAAAGATAAATACAAAATATGAAATAATTTACTTAATTGTTAATTGAACAATAATCGAATAGATTTAAGTGTATTAAATAATCTTTAAAAAAAATACTTTCCAACTACAACACAAGTTCAGCAGCAACATATTTCAATATTTAAGTACATTTTTGTGAAACTCAAACTAGATGTTAATTATTATTTTTTTCATGTGTGTCACCCAAAGAGCATAATGGTCAAACTATTTAGAACATAAAATAAAACACAAGCTTTGGAACGAAAATGATATTGTAGTACTGTTACTGAAAATGAGATTCAACCACCATCATCCATCCTATACATGAAATAAAGTCATATAAAAAGTGATTCATCCATTTTAACTCAGATAAACAAGGAATTTGTAACTGTCACAAATGAATTGCTCGTAAGAGAATTTCTTCGAAATAAATATCATTAAAGGATCAATGTTTAGGGCACAACAGAGAAGCGTAACAGATATGTAATATAATGAATAAATCAAGCAAGATAATTGTGCAAATATATGTTGCGCAAAAGCATCTCATAGTATATTTTTACTGTGCAATAATGCTTGTCTTTTAGCATTTTAACATCATTAATAATGATGCAGACAAAAAAAAAAAACAAATAGCATAATGAATAAACAAAGGCAAAAAAGTTGCAGCACAAATGTATGATTGTTCTACCCAACATATATTCTGTTATATAGACGCGGAACACTGCACAAGATAGTAGGTCTTAGAACTGCAAGGTCTTCTATTAATTGCAGATTATCCTGTATGCAACAAGTAGGAAGAAAATGTCAGTTTATAGTGAAGCAAAATCCAATGACAAAATCAACCCCACCGTATCATACTTAATCCAGTATGATTTATAAGCAAAAGTTAACTACACCACTTATACTAAGGATTAATCACATAATCTTATTTAAAAATCAATTCCATTACCTGAATTACCGTTCAAGATGTAAGTCAACATAAAAAAAGGTAGCTATCATTTAGAAATTTTAGGTATGATATAGCTCATTCAGAATTAATATATATTTCGCAAATGAAAGG